CTCCCTCCCTCCTTCCCTCCCATTTTTGTTATTGACAGTGAACTGCTTGTTCTATTGAGAGCGTAACGCACAGTAAACATAATCAATGGCGGTTACCTAAAAGTGTGAAATTGCAGCCTTTTCATCTCTTGAGCCCTGTACCAAAGCCCTTTTGGAATGGAGCATACTCCATGATATACTTACAACCACGCCTGCTTCACAATACAGGCACAGGGCATCCCTCAGTAGGGCGTTGTGTGCCAAGGCCCCTCATCCTGTGATGTACACAGTCAGTGGGTTTTACTCAAGTCTTGCTAGTACATTCTCCGCCCAAACACTTCCTAACATTTGATGAGTCTGTTGTCACTTTATTGTATGTGGCTGTCTGATCATAAACTATTGTAGATATAGTTAGGGCTAAGTTTACTCACAATTAATTCTGCTTTCATAATCAGTCTTAACTGTGGGATTTGATTTCGTTGTGACATGTATAGCATAAATAAATTGTAACATCTTCTTTGCAGACATTTTCTCTTCCTAAACTTCGCGTCACTTCGGATTTCGAAGGCCAGTATCCACATGAACTTAGCTGCAAAAAGAATGAAGTTATTTTGCTGATTTCCAAGACATTTTCTTTGTAAGTTTTGCTCTTCTTTTATTTTATTTATCAAGAAGTGAAATATGTTTGATTGGTTTTGCATTTTTGTTTTGTTCAATCAGTTAGCCTATGTATCGTTTGACGGCAGTTGTCAGTTTCTAACATACTGTTGCATGGGTAAAGTTACAGTTTGTTCCAAGCCTGGACTGAGGAAAAAAACTCTGTAAAGCATTTTAATTTGGAGCCAAGTGAGAGATTGTTGTTTGACTCCAGTTTTAGGTCCATCATCAACATGGAGTATTACTACACCCCGTAGATGAAATGCTAGCCCGTAATAGGCTACCCGAGTATTTTGCCATGTTGACAAAACAGTTGTTCATGTGGGACGCACAGTTCTGCGGGACGCTTTTAGGCCACAGTCTTCGTGTGGGGGGTTACTATAATTTTAATTTTGTTGTAAATTAACACATCACAGTGTTCACGCTCTCGGTAACATTCTCATGAAAAGATACATGAGGGGTTCTGTTGCCAGTCTGTCTTAGTTCTCCGTTACCGGCAGTCCCAAAAAATTCTTTTCACATGAAAATTGAGGAGAAAGGACGATGTAGAGTCCACACTCGTCCCATGAACTGAAGAGGAACGTAGCTAATACTTTTTTCGTAATAATTTATTTAAAGTCGTGAAACAGGGAGTGGTTGTCCATTCTCCTGAGCCAGGGGCTCATGATAAAAGTGCTCGACAAAAAAATACAAAAATACAAAAAACGTGGGCGTATCACACTACACTACATTTAATTTATACCTTAGTTTAATTTATACATTAGTTCGTTGATTGAGAGCTGAACAGATGATACGTTGTCGGAATAATTTTGTTTGACAGAGCCGACAAAATAAAAAGTTCTTTGTCTGGTGAAGCTTGGCTGGGTGAAAAGAAGAATGGCACTCTTGGATTATTTGATCCTTCAAACACGCAGGAGCTTGTTGGTAAGTAGGCCGTTGAATGTTCAACTGTCGTTTAGGACAGCTACAGGTGTTACTAGTTAAAGCGGTTTTCAACATTGAATACATCTTTAAACCAAATCCAAAGTAATCACTCTAGCCAATCACGAAGGACATATACAATCCACTGAACCAATCAAAACGCAAACAAAATGCATGTGACGCAAAGCGCGGGAAAACCTGTGTGAGTGAGTCACAATTGGTTTCTGTCTTACTTTTGATTGGATGAAAAAGTGGCGCGAATTTTTCAAGCCAATAGCATAGCGTAGTTATCCAAAACCAATGGCTTGTCGGCAGTCAAGTAAAAACCACTCCATGTGTACGAGGTCAGTCAGCCAAATAGGCCCTTTGCAGCTGGGGTCACGTGACCAGATTTTTCCTATAAAATTTCTATATTATGGGCTTTAACTTAAAGAATGCCAAAAATGGAAAGAGCGCATCGAAAATACTAAAATGGCCAAGTTTGAGGCCCGTGGAATTAAAGAGTAAGTTTATATGACTATTTGAATTTTCAGAAAATTTAGAGGATTTGTATGGAAAATGTTGCTGGAGAGCAAGGCCTTGCTCTCCAACAACTTTTTCCATACAAATCTTCTTATTCTTTTAAAACTTTGGAGCGTCATAAAATCTCCTTCTTTAATGATGGCGGCCTCAAACTTGGCCATTTTGATATTTTCGATGCGCTCTTTCCATTTCTGGCATTCTTTAAGTTGTAGCCCATAATTTTATGAAAAATAGGTCACGTGATGGCTTAGCTGCAAAGGGCCTATTGTTGTATTTAGTCAGGCAGTCTTGAGTAAATAGAAGTGTCTTTTTGGGCGCAAAGTTCGAAACAAGGGAAAGTGAATTCTTAGTTTCGACAGGAAAATTTCTACAACAATACACAGGTCTTATTTTGGATTTTGTGGCCCAGAATCCTGTTCAAACGTTTCTGTTGGGTGTGCAACTGAAAACCAGTACCCAAGGAGAAATGTGTTTTTTCACCTGCCATGTTGATTTGAACTGATTTGTTTAGGTGCTGAAGATGTTAAGTGGGAGGCACAGAGTGAAGATGTGGAGGACGTAGCAGCTTGTACTTTACCAGAGACAGAGGATGAGGAAGATTCTTCAGGTGGGCTTGTAAATATATTTAATNAGTAAACAATGCCTCATATAATAGGTCCAATTTGTTTCACTTTGTAATTTTTAAACTCTCATGAGCGCTGCCAAAATGTAATGTAACGTCAGAATTGACCCAGTTGAGTTGAGTGGCTTGATGCTCTTAGGCTAATTGCATCAGTTTCATTCTGAATTGATGATAATGCCATGTCTACTAGCGATGGTCTCATCAAAGGTGTCAAATGAAAGCTCATAAGAACAAGAAATAGCTTACTAATTTTTCACGTCAATTCAATTCTCCCACAATCTTGATCTCCTTTGTCAAACAAGTACTTGACACTTTTCTCTTATCAATCTTCCACTGTATCTCATTTTGTAACCAAGTGTCTCGTTCTACTAAGAGTGGCCTTGATTGTACATCATTAACTCATTTGCATTTCTGTATTTCAGTTGAAAATGCATACAAGTCAAATACTACAGTCATTTTCAATGCCAGTGACAGGGCGGACCCTCATGTGAATCTTTGGTGTCGCGGAGATGTTTGATGAAAAATGTCCGATTTCAGCTTTCATAAACTCGTTTGTATTCTGCTCCGGATGAAAGATGATGACAAAGAGTTTTGGAGCGAAAATACACAAGAGCAGTCCATAAGCGGTGACCAGGGCTGTGGCGCATGCCACTATGGTGGTGTAAAACCCCTCTAAGGACGAATCCACTGGGTAAAATGACACCCAGGAGATGAGCAAAACATACATCGCCAGCCCGATGTATCTTGCTTCGTTGAAATTCTCGGGCAGTCGTCTTGCTTTGAAGGCGTAGATAGCTGATAATAAGGAGAGGAATATGAAGTATGAGAACATGACTGTTCTAAGAATTTTTCCCACAGTGGTTGTAAATGGCAAGCAGGTGTGGAACAGATGCGTCTGTGGGCGAATCTCGTGGTGCACGCAGGGAGGATCCAGCGCGAGCCATAATGCCGAGAGGATGACTTCAACAATGTTCAGCAGAAGGACAACTAGAAATTGACGCCTTCGGTCCACGACGTATCTCTTGAACCAGTTGGGGATGATATCAGTTTGAAATGCTCGGACCAGACGGTTTGTCTTTAGAAACAGGATCGACACGCACGCCGTGTTAATGAAATACCTCCAGGGATACACAATGCAGCATAGAATTGTCGTGGGCTGGATCAAGTGGAGCAAAGTCAACACGAAACACAACGCGATTGTAAACAATAAGAGGAAGCTCAGTTCTCGATTGGAAGCCTTTACTATCGGAGTGTTTTGATTCTTGAAGAAAATAGCGAAAGTCACGCTTGTCTCAAATAAGCCGACTGTTGTTAGTACTTTATATACCACAGCAGTAGTGTCTGTCCATTGAATGTTGATGACTGGTAGAGGCAGGCATGCAGTGCCATCTTTGTTAGACATATGCTGCTCAGGGCATTGAGAGCAGTTTGGCGAGCTGTACTGCGTGCTAATGCTACCGACTGGACATTTGATGCACTCCCAACAGCAAGACACAGTTACAGTCTGCTTAGTTCCGGGTGGACAGCTGTAGCTGCAGGTTGACACTGGGCATTCAGTGCCCAGTGAGCGATCGCTCCATTTGATCAGTTCACTGTCGATTGTAAGTTTATGGGTTGTCCCTCCGGTCCAAGTTCCCACCTTGACAGTTGCATAGTGTTGGCCCTGTCTTTGAAAGTTCACAATGTCGTAAGATGAACTGAGTGGATCGCCATGTTTGGTAAATTGTATCTTCCCTGTGACTCCATGAAATCTGACATTTCTGAGGTACAGCAGTGTGTCCTCGGGTTTGGTGATGGAATTTATGTCTGGACATTTTCCATCCTCTAACAGACCTCTAGGCTCTTTACATTTAATCATGGAATCGATTGCGTTCGCGAGAGCGAATGTAGCATCGGTTAGATAAGGAATGAAAGCATTATGTATTTTGGAAAAGGCGCGTTCGTCTACTTTTGCCCCGCCATTGCACGCGTCTCGTGATCTAGGATGCCATGAGCAATTAAGGTGTTCCTCCCAGAACTCTTCCCACCAAGGATTAGCGCTTGCTCTGGTGTCCTTGACTGTGATTCCTTTGAGATGTTCCTCAAATGGCTTGTCAATGAATAGATGTGGCCTTATTCCTAACGCTCCCTTGAGAATTGCAGAATTTTCTTCCAGAACTTCAGGACTTATAACGGCAATGGCTTCACTGATGAGGAATGTACGTCCTTTCAAACCTTGTGCAGTTGCTTCTCTTAGAAATCGTTTGGCGGGTTCGTAGTTGCTCCAGAGAACAATCACTTTAATATTTTCGGCCGCTTTTAGCTTTGTCACGATCGTTTTTATTTTTCCTTTGTAGCCGGAGCGCGTGAAATACTCCGAAAACGCGATGCAAAACGTTTTGCGGTCGTACGCTTCACGCTCCAGCGCTCGTAAACCGTAACGACCGTACGAATGATCGATGGCCACGGCTGCAATGTAGGTCCATCGATAGTGCTCTATAATGTCCACCATGGCCTTCGCCTGCTCCCCATCTGGTGGTATCGTGCGGAAGAATGCATTAAAGTATGGTGAACTTAGTTCCTCGCTGGTAGCGAACGGGCTTATTGTTGGAATACCAGCCACTTGTAGCAGACTGGATACCAGAGTACTGCTGCTTGAGTCTTCCGTGCCAATCACTGCAGAGATGGGCGCTGTTAAATTCCGAACGAGTAATATAAAGTCCCGTTTCGACGTGCCACCATCTTTTTGCCTTTCAAAGAGCTCGTTAAGGTAATTGCTCTTCACTAAATCGTTGGCCGTTTTCATGGCCAGGACAGGTGTATCACAATAGTCTCTAATGTCAAATCCCAGTGTGACGTTTGGAAGCAGGTTGGGGTTGTTGTTAATTCGCTCGATAGCAAAAGTTATGGCTTCGATATAGCCCAGTCCAAAAGCGTAGAACTCACCACAGTTATCCTCCGAGTTCTTTACATGAAGTGGAAGTATAACACCCAGCGTCACATTTCCTGGTTTATAGAATCGTTTTGGGTTACTTGAAATTGATTCAAAGTGAAGGGATGACGACAACAGCAATAGATAAATTCGGAACATTTCTTTGTGCTTGCAGAGACCGCCTAAGTCACCAGGTACATCTAACTTCGGGCAGTGGAATTATTTCACCATATTAATCCTATACGAGAAATTAAAACATATAAACAGAATAGCAAACTAAGAGAACTTCCCTATTGAAATTTATTTGGTTTTCGTGGCGTAAAATACTTGTCTGTTAGGGAGCATTATGATTTGTCACTTCGGTGGTATCATTTATAAACTTTGCCAGAAAGACAACCGCAATAAATCAGATATCTTTTAAAAAAATGATGAATATACCTACCAGCGGGATTCTGCTCTACTTGCACAGTAAACCGAGTTCTAAGACGTACATTTTTTGCGGCATATTACAAAAGACTTCCTTTGAACGTTCCGTTGTCTTGAATTTCTGTTGAATGGATTAAGAGAAAATGACGATAACCTCAACTGGAAACAAATTTGGTGTGATATAAATTCAGTTTGCTGTCGTGCAGGTGTTTAAGGTACTTGTATAAACAAAAGCCAAGCTGAAAAACAACTGTCACCGCTCATTAGCTAAAATTGAACGAAATGTTGACAGTGTTTCTTGAAGTTATTCTCAGGCAAAGATGAGCTTGATCTCTCACGCGGCGAAAGCTTTGCGATAGTACAGAAATGAGTAAAAGTTTAATTATAACCAACATGGGACACCTCAATAGATAGAGATCTCTTTTAAGATTGTTGCCTACATGCAGATGACACCTATAGGGAAAAATTACATTTTTAATTTTAAGACAAGTGGGAAGGTACACAAAACCTAGAGAACAATCGTCCTTTTAAGATTATTTTCTTGTTTAGTGTCTCCATGTTATATCCCGTGTCCTAAATGAGAGTACCTGGTGACTTTCTTCGTCATTTTATGTATTAAAAGCTCATCCTACCACCTTTAGGTTCGTAGAGGACAAAAATTAAACTCCGCGGGTGTTTTGTTATGTAAATGCATTCTTTGTTAGTCTACGAATTCTAAAGTGTTTACTTTATCTCAATTTTCCAAGATTCTAAGAGTACAACTGAAAAACCTTCAATTCCATTTCTGACACAATTTCAACCAAATGGCATGGCAAAGTGACCGGCCACATAATATCTTATGCTAAATTTATCAGAGATATAGAATAGTAGAGAGGTTCTGAAGGGTTTTCTTAAAATCCTCTTCAGTCCTATTCTCTTTAACCTAAGTAAAAATTTTAAAGGGAAAACATCATGTATCTAGAACATGCAAATAAGAACTAGCTGAGAAGCCAATATACTCTTTGCTTAGTCCACTCTGATTAAAAAAAAGACCGTTGAAAAGGATTTAGAATTCAGCTTGGAGATTTCGTCTTGATGGACGTGAATTAAGTGAGGAAACTCAAAATGCCGAGTTTGAAATGGGAAATGTTGAATAGATCGCATTTCAAAAAGATTTCGTCAAGCACCTTTCGAGAGAAAGTATTGCTTTACCTTTTTTGAGGGCCAAACAAAAACAAATCATAAAGGACGGGTTAAAGGATTTCTAAACATATAAAAGCTGCATTATTTCTTGGCGTAAGAATCTCATTGCGTAAACTGACAAGCTAGAATCGAGTTATTACCTTTTAGTAAGTCTTCCTCTTCCAGTTTTGTGGATCTCTGAACAATTTATTGATGTTTATAATTTTATTTTAGCAAATCCCAGCTTCTCTTTGATAAATTTCTTTCTCTATTGGTGTCTTGCGACGGTTAATTCTCTCACGCATCGTCGATCGCGAGTACCGAGAGGAGGATCAAACTGAGTAAGAATGAACTAGATCGTTCGAAAGGTAGCGAAAACAATTTCGAGTCAAGATGACATGCTTCTCAAACTCATTAATAATTCATCAAGTTTAAGCAAAGATTTACATCGATCATAGCATACATTTTAAAGATTTTAATTCTCCATCTCCTACTTTGTTTTAGTCTTGATTTCGAGGATTTATCAAACACTTAGGACCACACACGTGTTTGATCAAATTTCCAAGCATCTCAAAGTTCATCAAAAGCACTCCGCTGCGCATCATATCTTCAATTCTCTTCTCGGTGTTTGGATGTGTGGTAAAATACGGTCTCTCGTGTTTAATATATAAGTTAAGAATTTTTAATCACTAAAAACAGAGTGGAATGTCTTTTCAACAGGTGTTGAATATAACATATTGCATATTTTATATAACATATAATAATAAATTTTGATACCGTAGAATTCCGAAAGTAACGGCCCCCGTTACTTTCGGATTTAGCAGGCAAAAGGGGTTGCTACTTTCGGGGGCCGTTACTTTCGGAATTCTACGGTAGCCTGCAGTCCATGATATGTGATCAGACACTTATGGACATAATGAAGACGTTTTCTATATTCCATTTCTCTTTACATCACGTGGAGCATCCGTGGTTAAAATGTTGACATATTCAAACAAGGAAGTGTAAGACATTGAAACATTCCTCCCGTTGTTTATCAATTGTGAATAAATTAATCTCCTTAATGAAATCTTCTTAATGAAAGTTTTCTCCACGAATTATTGAATGGGGTCGATATCTTGTTTCAATGACTGCACAGTATGTTGCCCAGCATCCGACAACTTCAGTTTCAATTTCCTTTATCCTATATTACTGTATTACGAGGTATCACTTTTATTCTTTAATACAGTGTATGATGCCGAAAAAGTGACATCTTTACCCTCGGGGCCGTCGTACAATTTCATTTTCTGCAAAGTTCCTAAGTTAGTTACCCGTAAAGTGAGCCCAGTCTTCGACCACGACAATATTAATGAGGCATCAGCGTACCTTTTCGCCAATTGATGTATTTAGCTCCTTTTCACTTGAAAAGGAATTTCGTCCCCGGTTCGGAAAAAAACCTGCTAGCTAGGAAACTGTGCGAAATGCTACCCATCGGAAACTGGACAACATGATGCTGAGAACGGAACAAACAATGAGGTTATCCAGCCTGGGTAACAAGCGTTCCCGTCATAACTACTTCACGACAGGAAAAGAAGGTAAATTCCGTGCTTGAGAATAATCATGCTCGTGGTGAGAATATTCTTTAGCGCCCCGCGATATTTTTGATATTGAAAATTTAAAACTTAAACCGTTTTGCTGAGACATTGAATAAAGCAAATATTGCCTTTGCAATCATTCTCAGTAAAATTTATCAAACTGATACAGTTTTCAGGTTTGCATGCACTATTCAACGGGAACAACGTAACAATTCGGTGGTAGAAAACACAGTTCTTCGATACCAAGGTAGAAACACTCATTTGTTGCTCTTCCTAGGAATAAACTTACGTTAGTTTAATCGATGATATTTTCACGACGAAAACAATCCATCTGGCTTAATATTACTATAATTTTCTCTTGAAACTCTGCTATATATTTGCAATGGAAATAAAACAAGCGTTGCTGTTAAGAGCTTTGGATTGGCATTTTTTAAGAGAATCGCAAATGCATATACAGAAAGAGTCGATTTTTTGCTGAGATCGAACATGAAAAAATCTTATTTTATCGTTATTACTTAAGTGAACAAAGGTTGTCCTAAATGAAAGAGTTTTTCTTTGGTATTCATATATTGCTTGGAAGTGGCACAACCTGGTAACATCAGGGCGCCTGAATCTTCGAATTGTCTTCCTCTACTCATTTTCAGGAAACAAAGATAAGAAATATTTTGAGGGTTTTTTGAGATTTTAAGAAATTGTTTCGTGATATTTAGCATTTTTTTTGGAGAATTTTCGGAAAGATATTTAACCGATTTTACGTGATACTTATGAAAAGGCCTAAGTTAGAGTCATTAGCCGTGTCCGCCAGAGTAGCAGGTAGAGAATGCTATTGCACAAATCACCAATCAGTTTGACTCAAATTTGATTCGAATGTTAATTACAATGAGTTAAAAGTTTGAACATTGCAGTAGGCCACAATGTTTCAATCCTTTCTGGCGACTGGGTCTCGAAACATTTCGATTAGTTCGCTGTGTGTTACTGACAAACGCAATAAATATACAGCAATAAACGGATTATCCCGAGAAAATCTTTAAAACGCTATTGATTTCTACTGAGTATATTGTATGCTAAACCCGACAAAAAGCGTGTTGAACATCACTGTTCGTTTGAGAACATCAGGTATTCATGATAAGTTGGTATAGTGAGAAAAGTGCTACAGAGCGTGTCTAAAAGAATAAGACGAGATGACCTAGCCTGGGCCGGTCGGAGAAACGAATTTTTACTTCGTTGAACTAGACTTTTCCTAGCAGCATTTACTCTTGTTGTAATGAAATTTGACAGTGATAACAATGGATTGACAGGCCTGCACAACTCCTATCCACGTGTAATAGCCGCTTTGAGAGTTTTGCTCGAACTAGTATATCTTTGAGGATCTGCCCCTTTTGTATTGTACGATAGGGG